ATGCAAATGTAAGATGTTAATAGCAGGGGCAACTGGATGAGAGTGTATATGGGAACTCTCTGTACTACCTTCTCAATTTTTCTGTAAATATAAAACCATCCCAAAAAATAAAGCCTGTTTTTTAAAAATCTTATTTCCAACTGAATATTATGCAACCATTTTAAAAATGAGACAGGTCTTTATGCAGCAATATTGAATCAACTATAAGCATATTATTAATGAAAAAAGCAAGTTGCAGAACAGTGCACAAAGTGCTGCTTGTTATTTGTATAATGAAAAAGAATCTATAGCTGTATTTGCTTGCATACGTGTAAGATATTTTTGGAAATATACAGGAGAAATCAGTAATAAAAGTAGCGGAACTCTGTGGCTGAGAGACATGGTTGAGAAGGAGGCTTATTCTTCATAATATACTCTTTTTTTTTTTCCTTTTTGTCTTTTTTTTTGTGACTGGCAACGGATCGCAACCCTCAGTGTCACGCCCGTACCGGACCGGGACCGGCAACGGGATCGCAACCCTCGGTGTCGCGCCTGCACCTCGCTCAGCCAGTGAGCGGCCGGTCTGTATGTGGGATCCAAACCCTCGGCGGGAGCGCCACCACACTCCCAAGCGGCGCACTGTAGCAGTGCGCCACCGGGCCGTATACTCTTTTTAAAATTAGAAATAAAGCCTTTCTCTACAAAATAAAGATTGAAGTTTCAAAAGCACGAATACTTGAGGTGGTTAATATATTTGGTGTGAATGCATTTCTATCAAAATTAGAATGCAGCTGACAGTGGCTTAAAGAGATCAAGCTCTCAGAGGACCCCAAGGATTTGGCCTGAAGGCTGTAGTTTACTACCCCTAATCTAGAGCATTTATATGTGCTATATATGTATATTATAACAGTTATTACAATGCATTGTAATAGGTTTGCATGCTTGCAGATCATTGCACTGTGAAACCTTTAAGGACAGAAGTGAGTTTATTCATATTCTTTCATTGTCTAGTAGAGTGGTTAGCATTAGTAGGCCCTAAAAATTTTGTTTATAGTTTTGTTTGCGGATTAAGTAATGTTCAAACAGAAACTGGTTTGATGAAAAATGTAATAACAAGGCTGTTTGCTGGTTTGCGGAAACACTTGAGCAGCAATCCGCTATTGAGTTTCATGTTTCAAAGCACTGTTCCGAGTTTTTTAAAACAGCTTTATTGATATATGATTAACATACCATAAGATTCAACCATTGAAAGGGTATAATGTGAGATTTGTTTTTAAAGAGAGATAGAAAGAGAAAAGGGCAGGGGTCTCTTCCTTGAATTGCATACTGTGGTGTTGTCCTGATAACAATGTCATATAAATGACCCATCTAGATAATTTCCTCCTTGGATTAGTGGAAGAAGCGTGGTGCCTAAAGATGAGGAGGACACAAATGGAAGAAAAGGCAAAGAAGGATTCTCCAGTATATTATTTATTTCATGCTAGGAGAAAAGAGCTGTGTTGAAAGGGACTTTATGTCCTGTGTGGGGACTCAGTATAAATCTGAACTTTCATCAAACCCTTGACCTTAGTGTTATCATCATCATGCTCTAACCAAGTGAACTAACAGGCCAAACCCCATAATTATCCTTTTTTTTTTTTGGTGGCTGGCCAGTACAGGGATCTGAATCCTTGACCTTGTTATGACACTCTGCTCTAACCAACTGAGATAACTGGCTAGCCCACCCCCATAATTATCCTTGAATATGCTGTAAGACTGATCCTAGAATCAGAGTCTTATTCCTTCAGACTTAGTTATCCAGGGCACACATCCCGAGATTTCAGTCATTCCTCTCTCCTTATTTTCTCAAATCTTAGTGTACTAGTTATCTATTGTTGCATGGCCAATTATCCCCAAACTTAGTGCTTAAAGTAATTATATTATTTATTATATCACATAGTTCCTGTGGGTCTGGATTTTAGGAGTGGTTTGCAGTGTTTCACAAGGTGGTGGTAAAGATGCCAGCTGAGTTTTCAGTCTTCTGAAGGCTTGACTGGAGTTGGAGGATCTATTTCCAAGAATGGCTCACTAACATGGATGGCAAGCTGGTGCTGATTATTTGTGTGATACCTCGATTCCTTGCGAGGAGACCTCTCTATGGGACTGATTGAGTGTTCTCATGATATGGCAACTGACTTCCCTCTACATAAGTGATCCAAGAGAATATAAGGCCTGGCTGGCTGGTTAGCTCAGTTGGTTAGAGTGCAGCCTTATACAAGGTCAAGGGTTTGGATCCCCTCATCAGCTAGCTGCCAAAAAATAAAACAAACAGACAAAAACAAGAGAGCGTAAGGCAGAAGCTGCAATGTCTTTTATGACCTAGCCTTGATATTCACACACCATAATTTCTGCAAAATACTATTTGTTACACAGGTTGGCCCAACTCAGTATGGAAGGGACTAGAGAATACCAGAAGGCAGGGATCACTGGGGGCCATCTTAGAGGCTGGTTACCACATTTCTTTCTTTTTTAAAAAATTATTTTTTAACTGATATATATTAATTGTACATATTTATGGGGTAAGGAGTTAAATTTCAATATATGCATACAATGTGTGATTATCAAATCAGGGTAGTTATATCTGTCATCACAAAAATTTATCATTTATTTGTGATGAGAACATTTGAGCTCCCCTCTTGTCACCACTTGAGAGCATACAAAAAATTTTTAATTATAGATGCCTAGCACTAGTGTACATCACTAGAACTTATTTTTCCTATCTAGCTTAAAATGAGTATAGTTTATAAGAGTATATGCACATCTAAGTTATCTCAAAGGGGATTCTTGTACCAGGTCTTGAATAATATATTACCTTGCCATTTAGCCTTACTGAAAAAGTATTTCTGGAGTCAGACCAATAATTCTTTTTTTTTTTTCCTTTTTGTCTTTTTTCGTGACCGGCAACGGATCGCAACCCTCAGTGTCGCGTCCGGCAACGGGATCGCAACCCTCGGTGCTGCGCCTGCACCTCGCTCAGCCAGTGAGCGGCCGGTCTGTATGTGGGATCCGAACCGGGCCGGCCCGAGACCAATAATTCTTAAGTGGAAAAGACCAGACAAACCAGGAGGCTTTTATTACTCGGCATAATTTCAATGACTCTGGTCATTTTCTCCTATTCTTTAATTTTAAAGAAAAATATTTACAGAAACCATAATCTTTTGCTATTCAAATTACGTGCCTGGTCAATACTCTGAAGTGAACTATATTCTATTAGACAAAGTAATAGAAAAAGCAACTTGTGGTTTTAATCAGCAGAAAGAAAACAATTTTGCAACTTCTTTACATTTGAATAGAACAAGATGAGCTGCATTATCAATTGCTTTTAATGTAAATTTTGCCGTGCTTTTTATCCAAGGGTCTGAACATGACAGACAGTAGAGGCGCCTCCTGTTTTTAAAAGAATGTCAAGAGGCTGTGGCATTTCCTGAACAAGAAATAGATTCTATAAGAACAGTTCTGAGATTGAATATAGGATTTACGACTATATTTAATCTTTGTATATTCTTAATCAGCTTTAATGATAATGTCACTTGAGTGAAGAAAAGGATTTAAAGTAAAAATGAAGCTTATAATTTATTACATCCTTCCTGTCCATGGCAGACCCCTGGGAGTCGTGGTGATTACTAAATGGAAATAGCATTGGACATGGGAGGTTTAAGAGACCTGAGTTTTGGTTCTGTCACTAATTAGATTTATAGCTTTCGGAAAATTGTTTAACCTCTGTAACTGAGCTTTCTCTTATGTAAATTGGCGGGTAAAGATGGGAGAGGGGCTTAATCTTAAAGTATACTTCACCAAAGCAGCTGACACAATCAACACTAAATACAAATTTATGTATGCCACAGAGTCTCACTCATTGTTCCAGCTTCCTCGGTGTTTTTTGTTTGTTTTCTTTTTTTCAGTCTGTTCTTGCCTAGTATCCCATACAGGTCCGCACTGGGGCTGCTCATTGAATCTTCAGCTGGTGGTGTTTCAAAAAGGGAATGAAATCTCGTTTTTCGTGGGCTGTGAAACATTCCTTTACGGAAGTCCCCGTGTCCGTTCCTCCTCACACCTTTAGGCCTTTCCCCGGGCCCAGCGCTCATTTGCTTCAAGTGAGGCGGTTCTGGGCACAGTGCCAATTTGCGAGATCCTGGTTCTGAGGAGGTGGATGGGTCCCTTAAGGCATTGCAGGGCCTCACGATTTGGGGCTCTCCATCGCGACTGCCTTCGCTGTGTTAATTTGAACTGTGACAAAGCATTTCCGATTTTCTTCCGAAAAGCCCAACTTGGGGTCACAACCACACCTCTATAACCAAGTTAACTGCTGAGTTAGGAGAACACCTACGTGCGCCAACGACTCCTCTCACAAGCCCTACTTTTCTCGGGACAGGCGGGCGGTTGCGGCAGTGGCTAGAACTACGAGGCCCAGAATTCCCGGGCGCATGCGCACTGCCATTGTGATGCTCCTTTCCCGGTAACTCGCCCTCTCATGCAAACCTGAAGATAGCGGCAATTCTCCGGTGGGGGGCGGAGACGCTCTCTGCCCACCTCTCCGCCCCCTTCGTGATAGGCAATGGGATAAGCCAACGGACTTTGCAGGCTCGGAACGCACTGCCCAATCAGCACCTGCGGCGGAGAGGTGGGCGTGCGCACTGGCAGGGCAGGTGTGCTAGGCTGTGCCGGGTTGCGAGGGGGGAGAATAACGTCGGGTCGGGTCAGCGGGCGCTGCAGTAGTCGCCGCAGCGGCGATGGGAGCGGTGAGGACAAGGCGGCGGCGGCGGCGACAGGAGGGGGAGCAGGGGCTGGCACAAGAGCAGCGGCTGGGGGCGGCCAGAAGCAGCAGTAACAGCGGCAGCCGCCGCCGCCGCCAGTAAACGCAGACGGTACCCGAGAGGACTGCCCAAACGGTCGCCACTCAAAGCAGCGCTTGGGTCCCGCTGCAGTCGGCGGCGGGGGATGGGCAGGCGGCGGCGGTCCCGCCTGCTGAGGGTTGACCCCTGCCGGTCCCGGCCCTGAGCTGGTCCCGAGCCCTCCACCCGAAATCCCTGCGTCCGCCACGGCCCAGGTAGGACACACCCCCCGAACCCCAGGGCGCAGCGAGGTAGCCCCGGGTCCCACCCTCCCCAGATCCTGGCTCCCTCCGGCCGCACCCCTCGTCGAGTGACCGACCCTGGTGAGGACGGGAGGGATATCAGAGATTCCTAGGTCGCTGCCCAAGCCCTGGGTTCGAGCCAGACCCGGTCACTCTCCACCTCGGAGACCATTCGGATTCTGTCCCGTTTCCCCCGAGGCTTTGGGTGTCTTCACTGAACTTGGAGGGTCACGAAGCTTCGTTCTGTTTCTCTCTCTCTGTGGTGACCCACATATCTCTTGTACTCATGCCGCTCGTAGTATTAGTACCAAACACAGAGAATGCTTAGGAAATATGAGCGCTTCTTTCTCACCCTACCTCCCCAACTGTAATGGAAGAGGGCATGGGACTATAGAATCTGTTTGCTGTGTTGTAAGGACAATGAAGGCCGTGACTTTCTAGTAGTTTAGGGTGCTGAAGAAGTGACCTGAGGGATTTGCTTTGATAAAGATGTTGACACCCTTGGATGCTGTGGGAGGGAGAAAAGACAACACATAAATGCGTACTGTCAAATCAGAGAGGTAAATAACCCGTTGGGATGCCAGGATGCTTTCTCCTATAATGAAGTTAATTTTGTTTCAGTCATGGCTACATTAGAGGTAAAAATGACATTGAATTGTACTTTGCCTTGAATTAAAGTTGGTAGGTGGCACCAATCTTGGTATTAACTCTACTCTTCCCTAGCTTCAGAAATTCTATCTTTGAACATTAAAGAGGACGATTTTATTATACAACATGTGTATGATGTAAAGATGTTTTGTTATTCAGTAGAAATTGAGTTTGTGTGTCATATTACGAATGGGTGAATCGGCACATGTATACACACACACACAGAGTATCTACTCAGTGTGTTTTATTAAAATGTTTTGTTCTGAGCCGTTAATAACAGTTGCGTTGGTATTTAAGAGCTGATTTGCCAGGATACACCACACAGATGTGTCTGATGTTTTCTTTTGGCTACATGGAAAAGAGTAACTTCATTTATGGGGGGAAATGGAAGAATTATTTTAAAGTATTGAGGGAATTGAATACTGTCTGTTGCTTTCTTTCCTTTTTTGTTTATAAAGTAGAAGTAATGATGACAAATATATAAATATGACTAATTTTTCGAATAATAATTTTGTGGACTTGGATCGTGTATTATGATATATTTAAATTGAAAACATATTGAAATCAGTCTTTAACTTAGAAGCTCATGTTTCCCTGTATAATACATTTTTTAAAAGGGGATGTTTGAAGCATGATTATAAAGGAAAGTTTCTCTAGCATTTTTACTTTTTGATAGAAAGTTAGGAAATGCTTTTTCCTCTTCTAGTTTTAGAAACATAAATTAAAGTTCATAGCTTCATTAATTTAATTTATAATATCAAATTGGAACAAATTTGATCATTGGTAGGGGACTAAGAATATCTTGCCTGTTATCTCGTACTGTGGTTAATACATGATTTAGTGAATTCTGTTACATTATGTGACCTCAGATGTGTGTGTCTTCTTTTAAATACTGATTATTTTAATATCTTAGGAAATCTTCATGATTATAGAGCTCGTTTGCCTTAGCAGATTGAACTCATTTATATAGGTCTTCAAATGTATTATTAGAAGTGGAGTTTGTATAATTTTTAGACAATTTTCAAGGGTATTTTACATCTAAAAATGCACTAAAAATGTGATAGGTTGTTGGTTTTTCAAAGTAAATGAATATTACAGAGCTGAGTTAGCTATGATCATAGAATTTAATTTTCACTTTGGTGGGGAATAAGCAATTCCTTATATGCCTTATATATAACTTTAAAAAGTAATATATACAGATGACAACTTGGTTGAAACTCGTGAGAGACCCTGAGCTGGAACAACCTTGCTAAGACTCTTTCAGATTCCTAATCCTCAAAAACTGTGAAATAATAAATGCTTGTTGCTTAAAAAAAATGTGTGTGTGTGCGTGTATACACATATAAAAAACAAGAAAATGTTTAATGAACATTATTGAATAGTGGGGGCTGTGTTGACCAGCAAAATAAAAAAGCCTTTGGGAATTCATGGAGAAGATAGCTTGCTTACTTCTCTACCTTTTTTGTTTTTTAATAGCTCTTGTAGGAAAAATTCTTTCATAGATATGTGGCAAACAGTCTTTTCAATTTGAGGGCATGTTACTCAAAATTACTCTAACCATGTATTCATTTTTCGTTCTTTTATGATTTTTGAGAAATACTCAAAATATAGCTGGAGCTGTTTTTGTTTGTTTGATTAGGAATATTGCAGGATATCGTCAATATTTATAGATTTTAAAAATTAAACACATTTTATACTGTTTTACTTCCTTGTCATCTTTTTGTTGTTGTTGTTACCAGTTTATTGTAAACAATAGTAATGTTAGTGGTAGTTTTTTCCCCAGGTTTCAGTGGATAGAATTTTTTGTGCTGAAAATAGTACTTCCTGGTTAAATGTCATACTTCAGTATTTGGTAAAGGAGTTTAAGTTCATGTGAAAAAGGTGAGTTTTTTTAGAGCTAAATTTTGAGCATAAGGAAAACACATTACTATTCAGTGTAGTTTCTGTTCTTATTAAAATCTGGTGATCATTGATTGTAGACTTAAGATACTGATTGAAATTATAATATTTACATAATGTGAATGCTGACCTTGCCAGAAAATTTTATCATTTAAGCAGGTGATTTTTTTTCTTTTTTGGGGGGGGGCGGAGTGTGGCTGGCTGGTATGGGGATCTGAACCCCTGACCTTGGTGTTATCAACAGCGTGTGCTAACCAACTGAGTTAACCATCCAGATCAAGTAGGTGATTTTTAAGTAGACTTCTTGGTATATTTTCATTTATGTTATATGACTATAAGTTAAACATAATTATTCTCTTTGTGGTTATATTTTATATGTTCTAGATATTTAATTGAATATATAGTACTTACAAACTTCAGTGAACATTTTGGATTTTTTCCTGTGATTTTTTTAATCTTTGTATATAAGATCTTTGTTTTGGGATATTGATAGCTTTTTTATTATATTATTGGAATTTGCTTTCACTTCGATCAGGGCAAAGCTTCCCAAAGTAAAAAATTAAGTGTTTTTTGAAAAGAATTTGGGGTGTATTAGCATCTCCTGAAGAATGGGAGGTAGGTAATAAGTAGCTTTTTTGCTCCCTTTGGTAAGCTATCGAGATTTAACCTAACCATGTTTTAAGAATCATTATTTTTTTATTTATTTTATTTTATTTTTTTCCTCTTTGTCTTCTTTACTGACCGGTAATGGGATCGCAACCCTCGGTGTCGCGCCCGTACCGGGGACCGGCAATCCGGACCGGCAACGGGATCGCAAACCTCATTGCTGTGCCCGTACCTCACTCAGCCAGTGAGCGGGAACCGGTCTGTATGTGGGATCCGAACCCTCGGCGGGAGCGCCGCTGTGCTCCCAAGCGGCGCACTGTAGCAGTGCGCCACCGGGCCGGCCCAGCAAGAATCATTATTTTTTTAACAGAGAATTTACATCTTCATTGAATAGAACAATCAGTATTTTATTAATGTTTGAATCAGAAAACTTATTTGCCATTATATCTGTTTTTACTGAAATGCTTTTTATCATTAATATTTTTATAGTTGTATTTTTTTATTTCTGCAGAGTTTCAAAGTAATCAACTTTTAAAAAATGAGGATGGGCCGGCCCGTGGCTCACTCGGTAGAGTGCGGTGCTGATAACACCAAGGCCGCGGGTTCGGATCCTATATAGGGATGGCCGGTTTGCTCACTGGCTGAGCGTGGTGCTGACAACACCAAGCCAAGGGTTGAGATACCCTTACCAGTCATCTTAAAAAAAAAAAAAAAATTAATTAATTAATAAATAAAAAATGAGGATGTATTGATTCCCTTATCTTTTTTTTAGCTATATGATTATCTAAATACTATATTTTGTTAATATTTGTCTGACATTTAGATTTCCACGTGTTGTATTTTATGGATTAAGTTTGTAAGGTCTCATTTTTTCTTAATCCACGAAGTGGCTTAGTTTCTAAAATATCTCAAAAATGGTTTTAAAATATTTTTCAGTGATCATTAAGGCAGAAATGAAGGTAGGAAAATAGGAAAAAATGAATAACCAAAGACAAAAAAATGTGAGCCTTGCCTCTCAAGAAATTTGATTTTAAAAAATCACCTGGAAGCTAAATTATATGGTAGATAGTAAACTAGATTAGGATTGCATTTCTGCTGGACTTCCCTAGCACTTAAAAAATACAACATTATCCAAGACAAAAGTCATCCCTCTTTTTAACTTTCTTAATTCTGTAAATGAGGGTATCACCATTCAGTCAGTCACCCAAGCTCAAAAATCTCAATTTTTTTTGACTCCCTATTTCTCCTGCACAAAACCTCTCCTTTTCATTTTCACTGCTACTACCTTAACTTAGCCTCTCTGAACTTTTGAACTATTGTAGTAGCCTCGTTATTCATATTTATTAAATACTTGTTAGACATCTACCATGTTATTGTGCTGGGGGTTAGAGATTCAGCAGTGAACAAGACAGAAATAATCTCCTTACTTTTGGAATTTACAGTATAGTGGAAGCAGACATTTGTAGAACAAGGAATTACAAGTGTTCCAAATTATTATGAAGGGAAAGTGCAGACATGAGCATGTAACAGATAGTCCTAACAGTTGGAAGGTGGATTCAGGGAAGAAGTTTCTCTTTTATTAACGACAGTTTGTTCTACATACTCCACTAGATTCAGAGGTTAGCAGCTATATTATAGCTATAATTAAATGGTTAAAAATAAATAAATAATTGAAAAGAAATGTTTTTAAATAAGAAAAGTTAATAAAAATTAAATGTTGACACAATCCCTGAAACAGCTTTAGACATACCTTTTCAGAGCATCAGAACACTTTGGAAAGTTCTGTTCTAAAGAGTTCACCTCTCTGTCCAGTATGGGTT